ACTCTGGATGAAACAGATGTTGAGTGATTATATGATTGAACAAGGTATTATGACTGTGTTTTGTGATAACACAAGTGCTATTAATATTTCTAAAAATCCTGTTCAACACTCTCGAACTAAACACATTGACATCAAACATCATTTTATTCGAGAGCTTGTGGAAATTCAGACCGTGACCCTTCAACATGTTTTCACTGAAAACCAATTAGCTAATCTATTTACTAAACCGTTGGATGGCCTTTGGTTTGAATCTCTTCGAACAGTTATTGGTATTTGTGTCTCTCACTGATTAAGGGTTTTGGTGCATGCTAGTATACGACTCTCAGTTGATATTATGTTATGCATGCGTAATATTTTTTTTAATTTATTTTCATTTTTTTGGTTTGTGTTATGTTCGTATTCTTACGTTTTTTTTTCTTGTTGCGTTCATTTTAAAATAAAATAAATAAAAGGGTGAGTACAAACAGAGTTTGATTTGAAAATTGGTTTTACAGCATCATACAAAATACACTTGATTTTGTGGGTGTGAATCAAGACTAAGTTTATTTGGTGGGCTATAATATAATTTACATAGCCAGCTTAGGATGCTTGTGGAGTATTTAATATAGGTCTCTTCATATACCATCTGCACTGCACACACTATAATTTTGATAGTGGGACTCTACCGTGTGTGTGAGTTTTGGGATGGCTGTCACATGTTAATAGGGTGACTTTGAACGTGAATTGATCAATTTAATTAGACCAAAACTTGATATTATCCCTGCATGAATAAATATATGTTGGCTCAATATCTTAATGCTACTTTTCGAAGCCTACTTAACTCGAGTGATTAAGCTTGCGGAGTTTCTCATAACCTGGTACCTATGGTTAGCTGACTTGGGTTCACCAGCTTAAAACTCGTTACAGGGGTCATGTTAGTCGCTTAATGGAAAGCTCTCTGCACTTAAGATTGAAAATATATTTGAGCGGTCCCGTTGCAAATTGTGAAGTATGAATAACTATTTGTGATGTAAGTTAAGGGGAAAAGACACATTCTTTGTTAGACATGAGCTTTTATATGTAGGTTCTAGTGTGCTTTACAATTTGACTTTCATAAGTAGAAGAATATACTTATTAGCAGTGATGTTTAGCATGTCCTTTCTCACAAAATTAAGGTATGGAGTTCTATTACCAGAGGATTAGTGACACTTAACACATATGAGTCACGTATATCATTTACTCCATGGGTGCTTTCAGTTGGACTTGTGGGATACTTTACTATTCACTGCATATATCTGTGATTGCTTCTATCTACATTGTTGAGATTTTGTGTGTTTTTGCTCCATTTTTTCGGCATTTGTGATAAAAAGGGGAAGAATTTCATAGTAAGGGGGAGATATATATACATTTCATGTCTAAAGCAGCTTGTTATATATTTATACTTATCATATATCTTTGATGGGTCGTTGAGGTGAGACATAGATACTGTTTAGACACTTTACGCTTTACATTAGATTTGATCTGTTGTATATGTCTTTTGGGGTCGTTGTAGAGAGGCATAGATACATGTTCTACTGCTTTAACACTTAAGAGCTTACAGTAGTGGCATTACATTTTCTTTGCACATCATGCACTGAGGGGGAGCATACGCATTGCAACTGTGTTGCATTTCATGCATAAATGTTTAAGTTTTGCTTGATGTTTTTGTGGTATTAATGTGGTTATGGTGTCTTGGTTAACATTAATACTGCATCTCAAACTAGTTTGCCTATTTCACTGACTATGCTTCTAAGTACTTTATTGTTTATTTCATGTATCATGTGCTTTTACACTGGTATGTGAGTTTTTGATTTTAGGATACAGGATTGACATAGTGAAAGTTGCATTCAGTTGGTTTTGTTGGACTTGAGCAGATTGGATAGGTTGTTGTTGTTTTGTATTGTGCTTTGTCATAGAATGCCAAATAGGGAATTTGTTAGGTTTATATTTTGTATTGACGATTCTGTGAACAAATTGACCAACTTGAANCGAGTGATTAAGCTTGCGGAGTTTCTCATAACCTGGTGCCTATGGTTAGCTGACTTGGGTTCACCAGCTTAAAACTCGTTACAGGGGTCATGTTAGTCGCTTAATGGAAAGCTCTCTGCACTTAAGATTGAAAATATATTTGAGCGGTCCCGTTGCAAATTGTGAAGTATGAATAACTATTTGTGATGTAAGTTAAGGGGAAAAGACACATTCTTTGTTAGACATGAGCTTTTATATGTAGGTTCTAGTGTGCTTTACAATTTGACTTTCATAAGTAGAAGAATATACTTATTAGCAGTGATGTTTAGCATGTCCTTTCTCACAAAATTAAGGTATGGAGTTCTATTACCAGAGGATTAGTGACACTTAACACATATGAGTCACGTATATCATTTACTCTATGGGTGCTTTCAGTTGGACTTGTGGGATACTTTACTATTCACTGCATATATCTGTGATTGCTTCTATCTACATTGTTGAGATTTTGTGTGTTTTTGCTCCATTTTTTCGGTATTTGTGATAAAAAGGGGAAGAATTTCATAGTAAGGGGGAGATATATATACATTTCATGTCTAAAGCAGCTTGTTATATATTTATACTTATCATATATCTTTGATGGGTCGTTGGGGTGAGACATAGATACTGTTTAGACACTTTACGCTTTACATTAGATTTGATCTGTTGTATATGTCTTTTGGGGTCGTTGTAGAGAGGCATAGATACATGTTCTACTGCTTTAACACTTAAGAGTTTGCAGTAGTGGCATTACATTTGCTCTACATATCATGCACTGAGGGGGAGTATGCGCATTGCAACTGTGTTGCATTAATACATAACTATTTGAGTTTTCTTGATGTTTTGTGGTATTAATGTGGTTATGATGTTTTGGTTAACATTAATATTGCATCTCAAACTAGTTTTCTTATTTCACTGACTATGCTTCTAATTACTTTATTATTTATTTCTTGTATCACGTGCTTTTACACTGGTATGTGAGATTTTGATTTCACGATGCATGATTGACAATGTGGAAGTTGCATTCAGTTGTTTTTATTGGATTTGGGTATTTTGAATAGGTGGTTGTTATTTTGTATTGTGTTTTGTCACAAAATGTCAAATGGGGAGTTTGTTAGGTTTATATTGTGTATTGGCGATTTGTGAACAAATTGACCAATTTGAACATTTATAAAAGTTTAGGGACTAAATTGTAAAGTTTTATAGTTGGTAGGATTAGCTTAGGGTTTGGGGTTATGTGTTTGGAACAAGAAAAATTCATGCCTGATTTTCGCTAGCTGCTCGCCAGAGTGTTGCTCAAGCGACTGAAGTAGAACCTACTTCACTCGATTCTCGCCCTACTGTCGCTCAAGCGACAGACCCTTTGCTCGAGCGAAGAGGCGACGTATTTAACTGAAAAACCTAATTGTCCTTTTTCGAGATCTTTAGTCGGTCCATATAACCTAATTCGTCCAAGTTATATATTGAAGGCGCCGTATTTTCTGATACATGGATTGAACAACATATTATTCAAAAAGAATACATCCTACACAGATCCAAAATTCAATCCTTCATTATTCTTGAGCATTTTTCATTGAAAACATCAAAACAATCAAATCAAACACTGAATTGGTTTCTTCGCTTGGATCTGCTATAAGACTGTGTCATCAACTGTGCTACATTAAAGATCAAGAAAGAATTTGAAAAACGAGGAGTTCTTGGGAAAGATCTACATGAGATAAACTGCGTAAAGAGTCAGGATTGGAGTTCGTGTGCTCATTCGAGGAGGACTGCTTTACAAAGAAGAGTCAGGATTGGTATTGGTGTGCACATTTTAGAAAGGTTGCTTCATACTTCAGGCAAGAGATCAGAAATCTTGTGTTGTTAACTTTGCTGGTAGTTGGTAAGTTTTATTAACAGTTTATAGTGGATCTTTGACTAGCAAAGTGCCCGAAATTTTTCCCACGTTGGGTTTCTCCGTGAACAATTCTGGTGTTGCTTACTGCTTTATTTACTGCTTAGGGATTACTGCAGTATTTCAAGATAGTATTTACTGCTTTATATATATATATATGAATCTCCTTTTGGAGTTTTAGATGAAATTGTGTTGTTAATTTTGCTGGTAGTTGGTAAGTTTTATTAACAGTTTATAGTGGATCTTTGACTAGCAAAGTGCCCGAAATTTTTCCCACGGAGGGTTTCTCCGTGAACAATTCTAGTGTTGCTTACTGCTTTATTTACTGCTTAGGGATTACTGCGGTATTTCAAGATAGTATTTACTGCTTTATATATATATATATGAATCTCCTTTTGGAGTTTTAGATGAAGAAGAAGACATAAATCTAAAAAATACACAGGGGGATTGGCGTCGCGTTTTTTCTCTCCAAGTTATTTTCTTGATCTCAAGGTATTTTTCTAAGTCAAACTCCCAATAGGGCTTTCAAATAAAATTTCAACTTGAATAAGACTCAAATAACATTTCAAATTGAATTCCTCTTTGCGTGCACTTCAATTAGAATTTTTCAATTACTTCAACAAGGATTTCGGGTCACACCCAAATTTTAACAAGTATTGTGGAACTCAGAATAAGCACATATTTGCTTGATCATTAGAACAAATGTAACCATAAAACATCTTGTATAATGAATCTGTGTATGCAGCAGAATCGAGAAACAAACTTTGATCAAAACTCGTTGATTTCGAATTCGAAAGACCGAGAACTAACCATTATATTTGGGTTAAACCAAACAGTAATTTTTATTCATAATTCAAGTCTGTCAATTCATTACACTTATACGTCTTTCAATATAATAATTATAAAAAGACTTATTATAGTAAATGAGCGACAATTAAAAGTAGAAATCAGCCATCCGTGTAGTACTCAAACTGATGCGTGAATCTTTATAACAAGCCCATCTTTTAGCCTTTTTATAATTGATTTTCCACGTGATTTTATCTACCAAACACTGTTATGCATCAGTTACCGATGATATTACTCACTATAAGGCATCATTTGTATGATATATTGTTGAACTTGAAATATGTGAACTGGATTCATAAAATGCAGGTTGTGATGGTGCGGGCAGAGTTAGGGAGAAGTTAGAGAGCATGAGAACCAACATTGCCATCGTAGGTCTGTCAGCTGCATTCTCTTGAACACAGAGCAAACTGATTTGAAGGCATCGCAGTGATCGCACAATATCTTGCAAGGAACTTGAAGCAGCCCTCAATGCAGGATCTATTATATTTGTTGTCGTTCTTTCATGCCAATTTTTCCAAGCCTGCGAGAATGTGACATGTATAAATAAAATTTTCAACACTATCACTGGTAGCTTCAAATTGAAAAACAACGCATAAATTATTTCATATTTACACTTACAAAATTTAGTAGACTCCTAATGGGATTCCCATTGTGGTAACTACTGTTAATTTTCTGACCAGTTATAATCTCTAGAACTAGCACACCAAAGCTAAAGACAGCTGATTTAACAGAAAAATGTCCATGCATAGCGTACTCAGGTGCCATGTATCCACTGCAATAGTTAGTTTGTAGGTCTGTAATTAGTGACAAATTTTATAGCTAAATAATATTGCCATGTTTTCTCTAAAACATGACTATATTTTCATTTTTTAGAAATAACCAAAATGATAATATGAGATTAAAATGCTTACGGGGTTCCCCCTATCCTGCTGGTATTGCCTTGTGTTTCGTCTACAAAAATACCCTTGCCATACCGAAGTCTGATATTTTAGGGTTCATATCTCCATCTAAAAGCATATAGCTAGCTTTGAGGTCAAGGTGAATGATCCGAAGTCAAGAATCTTCATGTAGATAAAGAACTCCCCTAGCAACACCCCTTATGATTTTGTAGCATCTATCCCCATCCAAATATGGACGCTTAATTGGCTCTACATGTACACTTGGAAAAATGAAATTGTGAAGAATCAAATGAAAATAATGCTCAAAATCAAAATCCATTACATGCGCAACATTAATCAATAGAAAGAAAAAGATTGCTGGAAGAAACATAATTTACTTCAAATAGAATGTTAATTACCAAATATGAAGTGGTCAAGGCTCCCATTCTTCACTAACTCATACACAAGTATCCTCTCGCTTCCATCTAGGGAGAAACCCAAGAGACTAACCAGATTTATATGTTGAAGACTAGCCATTAACAAGACCTCATTCTTAAATTCTAGGTCGCCTTGCCCTGAATTCCTTGACAACCTTTTCACTGCTATTTCTTTTCCATTTGGAAGTTCTCCCTGAGATTAAATTTTGAGACCCCGTTAAAATTTTTAAAACTTTCTCCCTGTAATGAAGGATCACTACTTCCACTTTATCTATAGAAACTTTCTTTCTAATGTGACCTTGTAAACAATGCCAAATCCACCTTGACCAAGCTTGTTAGCGTCAGAAAAATTGTCTGTTGCAGCTCTTATTGTACCAAAGTCGTATTGCGAGCATTTTTCATTGTCAGCTTGAGTGCATAAAAAATGGTTATCGAATAAAGAAAAGTAATATAGAGTTTGATGTACATAAAAGAATTTATCGAAAATACTTACTTCCAAGTTTTTCCTCTTGTTTACGCTTTTGTCTCATTCTTAGGAAGATGCCAACGCAAATAACGAGTATTAGACCCAATACAATAGGAACAATAATGATGATGATAGTTCGAGTTGTATTAGCATTCTTTCCTGCAAAATCCAGAATAAACTGGGTTAATATTACTTTTCAGCTTGTTGTTTGGATGTTTCGGTTTGCAAGTAATACTGTTCAATTCTAATATGAATCAAGATGAGAGTATGTCTGGTCAAGCCTAAAAAGGAAGCACGCTTCTTTCTGATAAAGTTCGAGTGTAATTTTGAAAAAACATATTTTTGTAATCAAATTTTTTAAAAGAAATTTTAGAACAAATATGTTTCTAGCTTTATTCTTTTATAGCTAAACATATTTGGCTTCTCTTTAAAATTTCCTTCTGTTTTGAACTTTTAGTACAAATAGCTCTACACAGAAATAGAAGCCACAAAGGACGTTCTTGTGACCTGCTGGTGGCTTTGGTATCATCCTTGGGGGCTCTTCAACCATGGAATTGTTGTAGAAGGGGTTGGTTCTGTAACGAAGACAGCAGCTGGGGGTGTGGATTTTAACTCCTTTTGCTCCATTACAGCATTCTGACATAAGTTTAGCAGCCTGGAGCAAGCAATTACTGCAATCCTGAGAGGTTAAATCAGGGGTGCACTGCACAAGTCCATAAATTGTTTGAAAAGCTGGAGCTGTTCGATTCGCAGCAGCAAACTTCTTGAGGGGCCCACCATAAGCGGCCCGGGATCTAAGACTGTCGAACAATGTTCTCAGATCCTGGTTGAACTGGTCCGTACTCATGACACTTTCGGCTTCCCGCTCTTGAAAGTATGGTCTAATTGCAAGAGTTCTGAAGATGGAGTCATTGGAGTATCGTACCATGCAATGTAGATCGCTTAAAATTGCCTGTTTTTGATAAGGACACAATTGTGAGAGGAAGAGTGCAGCATAATAGACACAACTACGACATTTGTCAAGCTGAACATCTCCTCTACAGAGCGCAATGGCATTGACTCTGTTGGAATACTGCCCCGCAGTGCTGTAGTAAAATCCATTTCTATCAATATTAGAGGAGACAGAAGAGAGGAGGCCATTGAGGTTAGTGTGGTATGTGCTATTAGTTGTGTAATTACCATTATTAAGACATTGATAGAGAAAATAAGGTGATGGGTACAGGGAGTCGACGATAACAACAAAGTTTGTCAGGGTGAGGAAAATAAAAGGAAAAAGCCATTTCCAAAAATTCATTACTGTAATTTGCCTTTCTCTAATCTCTAATGTGGTGATATGCAATATGATATGGTTTTATACTTGAGTTCTTCACTTCCCTAATTTAGAGTATTTTCAAGATACTCTCTATTTTTAAAGAACATATTTAGAACTTGTTTGGTAACACTAAAAATCAAATTAAAATTGAAAATATAGTCGTTATTGAGTCTCAACCGTCTAATAAAAGTCAACAATAACGGCTAGTTTTTCAATTTTAATCTGATTTTAATCTCTACCAAACACACTCTTAATTATTTAAAGAGTATCTAAAGTACTCCAAAATTTAATTTTACTACTCTAAAAAATATTTATTATTTTTCTTTATCTTTTATTTTAACTACATTTTCTTTAAATTATTTTATTACTTTCCTACATTAAAAATTTAAACATTTTGAAAGACATTTAATTATAGAGAGTGAGTTTGGAGAGTCAAACTCATTCTCTAAATTAAAATGTTAATTTACAGAATATCTTGGAGCCTGATTTTAAATGTTGACTCTTTAAAATAGAGAGTATCTCATATTTAAAGAGTCTTTTGGAGATGCTCATATAATTTCTAGGAATATTGAACCAGGACTTGGATAATCTACGATTTCACACTACTATTATATAATTTCCAGGATTGAACCAGACTTGGATAATCCACGATTTCGCACTACGTTTATGGATGCAAAGTCAAGCATTATGAATGTGCGAAAGAGTGGAGGTATTTTCCCATCATTCACCATTTGAAACAAGGTTTATTCTTCTTGTAACAACAGCCACAAATTTGTGTAAGAAGAAATGATGGGCTTACAATAAAATCAAGCATTAGCACCAGCACTAGCACTCACACGAGTCAATGTTACTTCAAGGTTTATTTGTACGTAATTACTGAGTAGTACCAATGTTCTTGAATATAGATTCATAATCATACGTTAAGGTTAATTTCCAAATGTTACCTTCAAGCTAGACTTGTGAAACACCTAACCTTTGTTCAGTTTGGAAAAAAAAAAAAATTACCGCCGTACAGCGTAAACTAAAAACTAAAAAAATGAGTACGAAAAAGGAGGAAATTAGGAGTAAAGTCTCGAAAATTTTCATAGAATAGAATTAATTATTCTATATGCTATATTTTTAATATTTTGGAAAGTTAGAGACTAAGCCCCTGTTTGGCCCCCATTATTGTAGATTTTTAGGGGGTTGAAAATTTTTAGAACAGTGATTGATGGGAGATGTGTGGTTGAAAAGTTTTAGATTTGTTTGTATTATTATTTTATTTGATGAATGTATGGTTGAAATATATATATATATATATAAGTACATGCATATTGGGCTCGTTTGATAGATCATAATTAATTATGTATATTAAGCTCGAAAAAGTCAGCCGTAATATATTTCAATTTGAAGAAGTTGTTTAAAACTAGTTTATCAAATAAATTAAAAACTTGAATGGAAAATTGAGATTTTGCCACGTGTATGGGGTGACTTATTTTAAAGAAAAATGTAATTCATCCACAGTGGGGATGCATCCCCAAACTATATGGATGTAAATGATTGGTGAAATTAAATGACTTATTTAATTTTACATATCATTTAATACCACATTAACGCCACATAGACTGGGGATGCATCCCCACTGGGGATGAATAGCATTTCTCTATTTTAAACTGTGAGTTGTACGGTTAGTTGACACGTGTAGACTTTATGGTAGAGAAGGTGTTTCTATATTATCTAATTTTTGGCTTGTGAAAGTGGCCATGCACGCGTTGGTTGTTGGGATCATAGTTATTATACCCAACCCGGTGATTGACTTGGAAAAATCATCGAGTCAGTAGTTCAATCGGTAGGTCGATGGTTCAACCGATGGGTCATTGCTTGATTTTAATTTTAATTAAATTGTATTTTTGAAATAAAAGGAAACCATTTTCCAAAATGTGTTTTGCTCACATTAATGGACAAAGAACCATTGATTGCCATAGTGGTTGCGGAATTGAAAATTTCCCTTCATTGTCCAAGGTTTGAATCCTAGCTCCAGCACATTTAGCATAAAATTTTACTTCAATTAGGTAACCGGCCCGTTTGAACGGTTAATTAGTAGTTCAACCGGTTCTTAACCAGTTCATGTGCTTATTTGATAATTTAATGCACCTGGACCGGATCATAGTCCGGGTCAGCGGTTTTCAGTTCGAACCGGTCGGTCCGGTCCGAGTTTAATAACTATGGTTGGGATTGAGTAAAAAAAATGGGTTATTTTATTTGCATTAGAAAGATAAAATAATTTTTTTTAAAGGATTGAATAATTATTATATAATATATATTGAGAAATTTCCTTGCATGGTATCGGCAATTATGACTTTGTACCATTAATATGTCAGTTGTCCTTAATTTGAAAATTGGTAAATTACCTCATTTGAGTCACTTTAAATAATCAACTGTTTGTCGGTACATTATAAAATTGAAATTAGGGTTGTCCGTGAGTCAGTTCGGTTCGATTCTGAAGATAATCGAATCGATCCAAAACTTCGAATATTTAATAAATGGAACCGTCGGGTTCAAATATAATTATGGAACCGTTTGAGATTAGTTCGGTTCGGGTCAGTTCCGTACCACAATTAAATTTTTTAATATTTACAACAACACTATATAAATACAACTAATGACATTTCATTCGTAACTTTTACAAATTAACGTAGCCCAATTCAAAAACATATAAATAACTAGCCGTCCAATAAGATTAATTCAATGCATACAAATACCAAAAAGTAGATATTAATAT